TTGTGTAGATAGAATAGACTAAACTAAATCAAAAAGTACTCTACTATTTTGCAATTTTCGCAATAGTTAATAAGATCTTCATTATTAAAAATTGCTAAATATTAGCAATTAAAAATTTTGAAAAAATTCTGAAAAAATTCTCAGAACTTTTTGAGAAGAAAATTAATAATTTTTGTCTTTGCAGCTTTTTTATAAAGTTGATAGTATATGAATAAAAAATTATTCAAGATCAATGTTTGGCAATTTTTAAGTAATTAATATCTTGTTAACTATTGCGAAAATTGCAAAAAGGACTTTTTGACTCAGTTTAGTCCGTTCTACATAAAAGCGATTGGCAAAAACTTTCTGGACACCCTATATACACACACACATACACACACACACACACACACATACGCATGCGCGCACGCACGCGCGCACGCACGCACGCATGCACATGGCAGATTTAGGATCTACTTAAAAAAGAAGATTTAAAAATCTCAAGAAATTCTTTTTAAAAGATCATCAAAACATTATTAGTACATATAGTATATACAGTATATATACATGTGTGTGTGTGTGTGTGTGTGTGTGTGTGTGTGTGTGTGTGTGTGTGTGTGTGTGTGTGTGTGTGTGTGTGTGTACATATTATATGTATAAGATTGAAAATAAAGAAACATAAGTAATATATGCTTTGCGTCTATGATATTATTGAAGTAGATGTTTTAAGAAATTCTTCTTTTTTTTTGACATTTGTAGTAAAAATTAAAAAATATATAAAATTTTTATAAACACGATTTTTTTTAGAATATTTCTCATACAACTGTTAATAAAAAATTGAGTAATAATACATTGAAAAGTTCAATATAAAAAGAAGCATTAATATAAAAATCTATTTGTTTTATAGTGATTAGGCTGAAATAATTCCAACTTCGTTTTAGAAAAAATATTCGTTTACAGATGAAGACAACTGCAAAATTTTCTTTATTATACTATATTCTATGTATATATATATATATACTGAAGCATTTTTAAGAATTTTTTAAGATTTTTTTTAAATATACTAATTTAAATTTCTTATTTAATTGTTTGAAAATTGATTTTTTTATGCTATTAATTATTTCTTACTAAAATTAGCGTTTTCAGACAGTACAGAAAAATCCCCCAAAATTTCTGTTATAAAATTTTTGCATGTTAATTTCTAATTTTAGCTACAAATGTCAAACAAGAAAAATTTCTTAAAATGACTATCCTCAATATCTTGGATGCTAGAAATATAATACATACTTTTTTATATATAGTTTTGAATTTCTTAATAATTAATATTAGGTGTATAATGAAAAATGAAATCATCATAAAAATATATGTCATTAAAAAATATATGTCATGTAAATTTAAATTAAAAAAAATTAAATTTTATCAAACTTAACTTAAACTATGAAGTAATATTTTTTACTATATAACCATGTATGTAGAAACAAAACGTTCTTTTTCAGGTGATGTATGTAAAAGTAAAATTTCGTAAAACAATACATGTGAATATACTATTAGGAAATAATGAGTCTTTAATGATCGAAGTTGGATCTTAAATGCTTAAATAATTCGATACTATATATATCATTATAAAAATTGCTCGTCAAATTGATTTTTCGGATGTTTATCAGCAATATTAAGATCTTTCCAAGATGTCTAACATCAAATTATTATATTATTACTACAATTCTGTCAAGTTTGCGTTTAAACAAATATATAAAAACGAAAAATCAATTCGGCGCGCAATTTTCATGATAACAAATGTAGATCGAATTATTTAAGCACTTAATCTGGCTTCGATCGTTTTTATTTCCTATTAGTTGTGTACTCACACGTACGGTCCAATGAGATTTTTTTTGTAATATTCGTATAAATTAAACGTTTTAATATACGAAATACGTCTCTTTGTTTCTTTGTCTAATCTATTTAAAACTGTAGAGACAGCACTTGTTGAGCAAAGATATCAATAATTACGTAATCGACAAATGACGCGTATATTTTAGCATGAGGCTTTATCAAAAATAAACAATTTTGCAATAGACTCGTGACTTTATTCAATATTTTTAATATAATTAATATAATTAATATAAATAAATAAAATCTGCGTTATCTGAATAAAAGATAAACAAACATTAGAAGGAAAGACGATCTAAATCAGATAGATTTTTACCTGGTGGAGTCCTGTCTACCAATACCGCCAGTGATACTGCTGCTCTGAGTGCTAATTCTAATGAGAGTGACATTTCTTGGTAAATTGGAAAGTGTTGAGCTTTTTCGATTTAGAAGAAGAGATTCCGCCGCGTTGTCTAGCAATTCTTTCGTTTGACATTCTGTCTTCCTCTGCTGTTTTACTTTTTCCTCTTCCTCGATAGTTCCCGGAAGTCGAAAGAGTTTCGGCGATTCATCCATCTTCTTTTTCTTCTTTAAGAAGAAAATTGCTTGGAAAAAATTGATTTCATTTCCATTTCGATAGCACTTTCTTTTTTCGATTTATTGAGATTTATTTTTATCTAGATATCTTATCGCTATCCTTGTTAACATTTTTTTCAATCTTAATCAATTTAGATCAATTGTTTATCTTTACTTTATTTTTTGTTATTTTTTTTCTTGTTAATTGAAATGTAATAATATCGATTTAATCTTTGAAAAAGAATGTTGCTTATTTTGCTTCCCTCTAACTTGATTCCCTCAATCTTTGAGCTCTTATCATTCCTGAATAAATAAGAAATTACATTTGATAATTAAATATTTTTTACACATCACATATTTATATTATGCTAATGATAAATAACTTGTTACATACGACCAGCATGTTAGATAATAACTCCAAGTGAGCAAAAGAAGTATCTATTATAAAACTATACGATAAATATACGATCGATAAATTTGTCAACATAATGTATTTACAAATATTTGATTAAAAATTTTCGATCATAAAAGAATTAAGTGATCAATTTAGCAATTATTGGAATGATTTTGGCATGATTGGAATGATTTTGGCATTGCCAATGCAATGACATGATCTACTTTAAAACTGACAAATTTACTTGTACGTAATTTTAACATGTTTAAGATATTTTGCAGACCAAAAATTTTAAAACAACACATTCAAATGAAGTTAATTATAATTTTGTAAACAAAGCATTTTTAAGAAACGGAGATTAATTATGTGTTATGAATGCTTGTTGTAACTTTCTATGTAAATAGAAATACCATCAATTTTTATAATATTAATTTGGTAATATTTCTTTAAATATAATATTACAATACCTTTTTCTTAAAAGAAAAATAAAAGAAAGAATAGCCATAATAAGCCAAGCAGATATAAGTGCGCAAAAAATTAAATTCTTATTCGTTTATTCTTATATAATATATATATAAAATTTGTGAACCACTTTTTTGGCTTTCCTTAATACAAATATAAAAAATAATCAAATTATAAAAGTAGAAATCGTGAAACTAAATATGTGCGAGATAAAAATAATATTACAAATAGAGATCTACTTCTATATTAGATTTTGATTATTATTTATATTGAGAAAGATCTAAAAAAATGATCGAAACATTTTTACAAATTTTGTGTATAATATAGAAGAATAAACGGCTATTCTTTTTTTTTATATTTCTTTTGAAATTCTGAGTTTTAATTATTTATACTTGTTTTATTTAAACAAATAAAATATCTGATTAATTGACTTTGTTAACATCTTTTTCATAAACTCCTTTTATTTTTAATTAATTCTAAATTATATTTAATTAGATCTCTCTATTTATTTTTGATCAGTATATGATCAACAATCTGGTCAATATGACTAATATTGATATTACCTATTCATATCCTTTTTCGTAAAATATATTTTGTAATTATATTAAAATTAAATTCTAATAGTACTATTCTAATAGTACTATTCTAATAGTACTATTCTAGTACTATTCTAACAAAATTTTCTATTTTAATAAAATTTCCTTAAGAAATGTATTTTCAAGCAAAAGAAAAATGTACTGTATCCGTTCATAGGAAAAGATTAAAAAATATATTCAAACTTAATTTTCATTTAATTTATTATTAGACATTTGAAATTTTATTATCTTTTCTTGTATCGTATATTTATAATTGTCTGTATCTAATAATTGATTAATTATTAGAGTACAGACAATGCATTACTAAAAAAAATTAAAATCATACTTAATAGTAAATAAAAATGCGTAATTTCTTTCCTTTCTATGTTTCCTATAAAGAATAAAGCGGCATACCTTTAAAAATAATGATAATTTTTCTCCGCTCTTCCAGCTGACATCGAGCGCACGTATGCGTGGCACGCTTACGACTGTTTTAAATTCACCCATGTTCATTCGTTCTCTCGAGTCACATGAGATCTCGCCATAGCGTTTATCTCTTTACAGCGCGCAAGCGGTAGTAATATGCATAATCACACATAAAGCCCATATTAGACAATCTAGTATAAAGGGGAAGAGGCAAATAAATTTTGCGTAAAATTGTCATTATACAATATTTATAATATTTTCATGTTTATATTTATAAAATTTTAAGTAAATTTAGAAACATATTAAATAGATTTAGTAAATATAATATGAAAAATAAATATAAAATTTTTCTTCTCCGTACATTTTAGTCTTTATATTGTTAAAATTTGTCTATACAATCACAAAATTATCAGAACTATGTGTTCATCTCTACTCTACAACTAGATGACATTAAGTTATAGGTAAAGCTATAATTTTGCATTAAAATGCTTGATTTGAATAAATGTGCGTACGTGCGTGCGTGCGTGCATGTATTTCATTAGCATATATTTATAAGTATTTATTATTTCTATAAGTCAAGATAATAAAACACAACATAAGTATATAAACACATATATTATGATATTGTTAATGTAAATTAAAATATTTTATTATTAATATATTGTTGCATATTAATATTTAATTAAAACATTATATGTTGAGTATTCGTATTACTATTTATTAATATTTAATCTGATTTTTAATAATACTTTTATCTATCTTAAAATTCTTTATATACATACATAAAATTCTGATACTATCAGAATATTATAGTGTATAAAATGAACTTAATATCATGAATCTAATACGACGTGACGCACTTCTCCGTTTTCCGTACGTTTCCTGCTGCGTCAGAAACCCAATGAACATACAACAGCATGAAAGCCTGTATTAACTATATATACAGGGTGTCTCATTTAAAAAAATAAATAATTTTCATAAAAATAATATAATTTGTAATATGCATAATAATTTTTGCAAAATAGTTTTCTTAAACGGCAACTACATTTTCATTAATGCATCTCATTCTTCAAAACATAAAAATATTAAGATAATTTTATAAAAAAAATATTTGTAGTTTACAAGACATTTTATGTGAAAATGTAAAAGAATCAAATGTAAAACATCTCATAAACTATTGATTTATCGATATATACTATTTTAATATTTTTATTGTAGAATAATTAAAGAAATCATATAATTATAATTTCCTTTTTTTTTAATAGCCAAACCTTCATATAACTTTGAAAACTCAATTTTTTTAAATTGATTTTTCCATTATTTTTGCTCCATTATTAGACCATATCAATTTCATTCTTTCGTATCTTTTATATTTTTCGAGATGTTCCTATATAAAAGTTAAAGTAAAACTGAGGCACTGCTTCTACTCGTGTGTCGAATTGAATTCGAATTTCAAATGTGAAATTAAACAAATATCGATATAGTATTATTTTCTTATAGAAAAATTGTTTTAATTATTTAGCAAGGACAAAAAGTCTGTTTCTTGCATTATTTGTAAATACTGAAATATTTTTTTATTAATCCAAAATTTTTTGGTAAACATCTTTTTTATTAAAAAAAAAAATTGCTTTCGAATTTTTTAAAACAATAATTTCCTAAAAAATATGATTGAAGTTATAGATTTTTTTAGATATAAACATTAAGATGTAAAAATATTTATTCGTGATTTTAATTTTAAATCTATTTAATAAATATAATTAATAATAATATAAAATTTCTCATAAATAAAATTCTTAAGCTTTTAATATATATAAGACTCAGAATGCCTTTAAGAACTACACACTAGCTGTTTATGTGTTAATTGAAATTTATTACATTATTTGAACAAAGATACGTAAACGTTTCAATCTTAAATTTAAGTCACGATATTAATGAAATATGTAACGGATCGTAATACAATAAGAATCGCAATAGTATAAATGGAAAGATCTTGTCGTTGTATAGTGATGTGGTATAGTATTGAAAATGATCGAAACGTTTACATATGTTTTTGTTCATGTAATAAATGCCAATTAATATATAAACAGCTAGTATATGAAAGGCATTATATTATAATTGTTATATACATTTACGATTTTTTCGTTGATTTGCTTTAATATAAGGGAATATTTATTTTAATAAAAAATTCAAAGTAAATATGTGTGCCTACATTTTTGGAATATTTCACTGGAATACAGAATTATTATTACATTAAGAATTTTTTTAAGATAAAATGTCAAATATCCTTAATAAGAATCAAGATAAAATCTAACAATAAGTGTTATATCTAGTCTATGTATTCCATTCAGAATGATACCTTTAAGACTCCAAAAACATAATTTTTTACATTATATTTCATCTATGCTCTTAAATTTAAAACATTTCTCTCTCTCTCTCTCTCTCTCTCTCTCTCTCTCTGTTTATATTGTATTCTCATTTACATACTTCTAAAAATTTCATGCTTATAACGATTCACTAATTAAATTATCAAACACTTTTTCTTTTTTAAATGTTTTTTAATTATTTTTAAACATGACTATGAAAATGCTAGATATACTTCACGGTGAGAAAATATGTATGATGTTGACGACAAAGCGTTTCGCGAAACTGTGTGTTAGCTCGCATTTACGAAAAGATGCATCAGCGGACTTTTAAGTGAGATTCATAGTTATTTCATCTTACTCCTCTTTCTCGTTCTATTTTCCATCTCCTTTCAATCTTCCTCTTACGAGATCGAGAATTGACGCGAAAGTTCTGCATCTTCACGGTCAAATCCGTGATATTATTCACATTTTCTCCAGTATCAAAGAGTTGTATTTATAACATTCAAAACATGTGTGAAATATCTACATTCTCTACACTTTTTTATAATTTTTCTAAATCTTTTTACCAAAGTTTTTATCAAAGTTTATTAATTTTATATAACTTACTTTTTACACAGTGTCTCAAACTTTTTGACACACCGCTTGTACATAGCCCGGACCTAAACAGTTATAGAGTTCTATTTTACAGTTTTTGCAATAGTTAATAAAATATTAATTTCTAAAGATTATCAAATAATCGACACATAAGATAACTTTAATAATTCTTTCAGTATTCTTTATGAAATATCTTAAAAAACTTTTTTAAAAATTCTTAAAAATATCTTAAAGTAGTTTTATATTAACTAAAAAGTACTTGCGAAAATTAAAGTAGAGGACTTTTTGATTTAATTTAGTCCGCTCTGCCCAAAAACAATATGTCAAAAAGTCACCCTATATAATTGATT